ATATTGTAATAATAGTAAAAAACTATGTGCTAATCCTGCCATTACAAGAATCATAAAAGAAAGAAATATCCAAGTCTTTTTAATGATATTTATCATAATATATATGTATTTTGCTGGTTCTAAAAGAAACAATTTGTAGAAATTAAATATTTATTACGAAGGAAAACATCAACGTAATTTTTCTATATTACCTGACAATAACCGAAGATAAAAAATCTATTTGATAAATATTTAATTATAAGTTAAAAGAATTTATTTTTAAAAAAAAAAAATTTACTAGATACATACAAATTCTAACCACAGTAATAGAACAGTAAAAGAAATTGCTATAGTATTTTCTTGGCTGGTCTTAGCATTAGCAAAAGCGTTTTTAGTATTAAATGAAGGAATAACACAATATGACATTACAAAAATTGCCAAGACAGTTGAAGCTAAATCAATACAATTAAATAAATTAATATAATATCTCCAGTCTCGATGTCTAAACTGTCTATATTCTACAATTAATAAATAGCATCCTAAATAATAGAAAAGAATTAAAAGGAATAATAAAAATTTAAAATGGTATCCTGTTATTTCAGAATGTGCAACGTAATTTCCACAAATAATTGCAAAACAAGCTGCGAATAAAATATACACAAAGAAAAGTCGAAGAAAATAATTTCTTGCTGGACGCCATTTGTAATTAATTACAGCTTCCATTACTGGATTATTAAATATATCATCATTACTTTCTGATCTAATGATTTGAACAAATGGACTGAGTTGTGAAAAATTTTCTGCATTATCTGAATTATTAACAAAATAACCTCGAGGAATAAATAATAATTTCAATATTTTGATAATAAATGAACCTTCATGGTCGTAAGTTTTTTGAGATAAACTATTAACAGTAAAATTATGTAAAGGAACTATTTTTACAACTGGAAAATAGTTTTCGTGATCGTTGGGAAAAATTTTAACGTAAAGTTTTGTTAATATTAACTTCAAATAATTTCCTAAAGCTTTAAAATTTAATTTTGGCACACTTGTCGATTTAAAATTCGAATTTGGTTTAAATGCTGTAAACTTTTTTGAAATAATATGAAAGTTTTTAGGCATAAAATCCATATATTCAATAATATTTGATATTTCTATACCTTCCATGCATGTTTTGCAAAATAATTCGCTCACAAAATACTCTATTTAAAAATAAAATAAAAAAGTTTAAAACGATCGTTAAAAAAAAAATGATAATAAAAATAATACAAACCTAATTTAAATGTATATAAATCTGGTAATGCTTTTGAAATAGTAATTAACCATCCATGATTTTCAGTTGCATTTTTTGTATAATATTCAAGTAAATAAGCTACAATTAAAATTCTACGGTTACGTTCAATATCTATAAAAAAAAATAATTTATTAATATTAAATACTTAATTTATAAATTTTTAAATAATGTAATTACCTGGTTTACACAAATTAATAGCTAGTTGTAAATCACTGAATTTAATTAAATCAATTTTTTCCTTTGTAGGTTTTTTCAAATTATCTTTTACTTGAATGATTTTTTTAGAATCAATTTTTTTCTTTGTAGATTTTTTCAAATTAATCCATCGAGTTATTTTTGGTATATGTAAATATTTAAATTTTACTTTTTCATTACCAAATAAAATAAATTTAATGAGAGTATTTGTGCCACCAATTATAATTTTTGCCATAAGGTTATAATGAATATCCAACATTTTCCAAGTGTTCGGATACTTTCTAATAAATTTACAAACTATAAGAGAAATATTATATTTAATTTCCTCAAACACTATTTTAATATAAAATATTAATATAAAAAATTTATTATAAACACACATATTATAAAAAAAATAAATAATAAGAATTGATAATTACCATGCTGATTCTCATATCCAATTAATTTATATCTTTGATAATATAGATATTCAAGGGAATCGCAAGCATGCCTAATTAAATCAATATCGTCATCATCATTATAGAACCATTTAATCTGAATGTTATTTTCTAACTTGATAGAAAAACCATTTTCATAAACATCTAATTCTAGTATTCGTAATATATAATTTTCAGTAGCCCAAAAATATTTAAGAACGAATTTTTCTTTTTGCCCAATTTTGCACCATATTTGAATAGTATATTTTCCAATATATAACTGCATCGATTCTTTTTGATCAAGATATACCCATGTCTTTTCATAATTATCTGTTGTCCATGGTTCTATATTATTTTTAAGAATTTGTGCTTCTTTTTTTGAAAGATTTTGATGATAAATAATATTATTATCAAACTTTAATACGTTCATTTCAGTTGGTACTTTACCATCTTTGTATATTTTAAATTTTGGTATAAGAATATTTACATCTTTCCTGCTAATTATTGAATTTAAAGTATCATATATCGATAATATTCTTCCATTTTTATTGACAGATATGTATTTACCAGGAATTTTTGCACTATTAAAAATACTAATATCAACTTCGTTTAATGGAATATCATATTGATATTCATTTGTATATAAATTCCAAAGTAAAATATTTATCCCCTCGTGTTTAGCTTTTT